CCCACAGCCCCACAGCAGTCCCACCTCCTCTGAGGGGAGCTCGCCACCACTCTCCCCAGGACTGTCTCTCCCCAGGACTGTCACACATGCAGATCCTCTGTCCACGGTGCTTTTCCTGACATCTGAGCGGGCTCATGTGTCTCTCCACCCAGTGTGAGGTCCCAGCTGAAAAGCCCGGCTACACTGCCGACCTCCATGCCTTGCTTGGTGCGTCTGCCCTGGCTGTCTCCAGCCTGTCGGTCTCAGGTAATCCTGGGAGTGTCCCGTCTCCCGCCCCCATGGACACTGGCCTGAGATACTGAGTCATCATTCCTAGGGCCAGGCTGAGGGTTTGGCTGGTTGCATTTGCAGTGCTTGCTATGGGCACGGTTCACAGGAGACTCTGGGCTTTGTGCCCCTTCAGGGTGCAGCCGATGTACCCATGAGTGTTGGTGATTTCTTGGCTCCTGAGGTCTGTGCTCATCTCTTGGCTTTGGAGACTCAGGTGTTTCCTGAGACTGTGGGATCACTGCAACCTGGGGCCTCGAAGCAGCAGGGATTTGTTCACTCTTCTGGTGTCACTGACCATCCTTGACACTCCACAGCTGTGCAGTCAGCTGCTGTGCTGCCTGTGTGTCTGCTTCTGTCCCCTCTGGCCACGCCTTGCTGACTATGCGCCCATCCCACTGCAGCCTGACCTCGCCCTATAAGCACACCTACAACCACCATGTTGATAGACAGACCAGGTCACATCCTGAGGTCCCAGGAAGGTGGATTTCTGGGAGCATCTGACCCAGGATGCCTGCTAAGTTGCCCTTTCTGTCTTCCTTTAGTGCTTCCCTGGGTGATGTCATTTGCTGGACTCTGTCACACGGATGCATCTGTCTGGTGCACCTTACTCTGTGCCCCATGATTCCTAGCAGAAATGTGTAGGGGATCACGAGGAGAGGCTGAGCACCCAAGGAGGGACCAGACCTGCACCAGCTGTCCAGAGGGAAGGGGTGGGACCCAGATTCCCTTGAAGTCAGCAAACCCTCATTTCCTCCACACGAGCTATGAGCCACGATATGTAGGTAGCGCCTGAGCCAAGGGGTGGGGGTCCTGAGGTCTCTGGGGCCATCGTGGGGTGTCTCCATCGTGGGCCTGCACTGCCCCTCTGGTCCTCCTGAATCATGGGGTTTGAGTGGCAGCTCCTCTGCAGGACTAGGTGGTCTTGGGTATGGATACATGACCTTGGACTAGAAATATGGGTAAACCGGCCTTAGACAGGCTCAAGGACACTTTGAGGTCAGATGCATCCTGGGTCAAATATCAGTCCCCTTGTTAGGCAGCTAATTAGACTTTAGCAATCTCAAGGGACAACAAGGATTGGCCCCAAATCCCGTGCATTGCCAGTCAAGTAAAGAAATGAAGACTTGACTATACATATGTTTACAACCATTTCTTAGGTCTCTGACCCAGCGTGACCCCCCAGATCACAGAGACTTCTTTAGGAGACACACTACCCAGCCCTTCTGACTCCTAGCACTGGGATCTCTGACTCCAGAGCAAAGCACACAGCTTTCCTGCCTCCTACAGCTCACACCCCAATGATATCAGGAAGGAAATTTCTTTAAAGACCCCCCCCCCACCATGGCCTGGGACCCGTTAACTTAAGAATTTACTTTTGTAGGTTTCTGGCACAATCTAAGCCCCTAAAGAAACACCGGCCACCTAAAAAGACACTTTACAATTCCAAAATAATTTCTAAGTAAAATTATTCATAATTACCCCAGTTCGGTGAACCCCAGGGACAGCTCTGGGGTACGTAAAAAGATACCCAAACCCACACTCTGCAGATGCCTCCATGGTGTACCCGTGTTCCTGGTGCAGGTGTGACCCTCTCTACATAGACTTTACAATGCTGCCCGGACTTCAGGCCTGGGGGTCCTGACTGGGTTCTTTCATCAAAGAATGGAGGCCCACGGACGAGAGGGGGACAAGCTTCCTGGGGACACCCAACTCCTAACAGACAGTCACGTCCACCACACTGGGCCATCGTCAGAGGCCTGGGCAGCCGGTGTCCAGGGACTGGAGAGAATCAACACCAAAGCCCAGAGGGCTGTGGAGCTGGCTGAGGAGTCAGACTTGATTTCCTTTTGTTCCCAGGTGCTGCAGGCTGCGTCTGGAGATGGTTTCTAGGTTCCTTCTGTCCTGCGCCAAAGAACTAGCCAAGACAAACAGAAAGGACAGCAAAGTTTTGCTGCAGGTTGGGAAGGAAACAGGTCCTGAGAAGCGAGCTTGGGCCAAGAAAAAGTAGGAAAAAGTGTACCCAGCAGCGTGAAGGTGGCCACCATGAAAGAACAAGGTGGCAAAAACTCCACGGCCACTGTCCTATCATGCAGTCTTCAGGCTGACACCAGGTCCAGGCCGTGCTATCAAAGACCTGCTGGAGTTCTTCGGCAAAGTCCGCGTGCAGGGCTTTGGAAACTGTTCTGCGCATGTGTAGCCCCACCTCCTCCCCCAGCCGGTTGTAGCAAGGCCGTGCTTTCCCGGTCACCCACATGGCAGGCACCGGATGCCTGCAGCAGGAGACCCCATGGCTGCCGGAGGACTGAGTTTGCTAAGGGAAATCCCAGGTACGGTTTTCTTAAAGACAGCTCTTTAAGGTATAATTCGCACCCCATACAGTCACCCCTGAGAAGGACACAGCTCAGTGGGTGTTGGCAACTTCATCAGCTGGGTCAACGAGAAAAACCTGAGAGAAATCCGGTACCCCTCAGCAGTAATTCTCCCCAGCTGTAGGAGACCACTAACCTATTCTGTGTTTCTGTAGATTTTATGTAAATGAAACCATAACATATAGGCATGGGACAGACTGCTTTCCCATATCATAGTGGTTTCGTGGCTCACCGTGCATGTAGTGTGTACCGGAACTATGTTCTTTTTTATGGCTGAGTAATATTCTATGGTATGGATCGACCGCATCTGGTTTATTCATTCGTCTTTTGAAAGGCATTTGCCTGTGTCTGTCTGTGTGTAAAGTCGTTGCCAACCGCTTTTTGTGAGGATGGTCTTGGTTATTTGCATTGGGTGAACACCTGGGGTGGAATTCCCGCGCCCCTGCTGACTCTGTTCCATCCTTGGAGGAGTGGCTGTGCGTTTTCTAAGTGCTCAGGGTTCTAACATGGCCAACGGTGTGACTGTCCCTGCTTCCGGGATTGCTGTCCTGGCGACAGGAACTGGTATCTCATGAGGGTTGTAACTGGCATTTTCCTGACAGCTAATGAGTGTGACCTCTTTTCATGTGCATATTGGACATTTGTGTATCCTCTTTGGACAGAAAAGATTTAGGTCTTTTGCCCATTTTTAATTTGGTTATTTGTATTCTTATTATGTTATAATAATTCTAGAATAAAATATATGATTTGGAAATACTCGCTTTCATTCTGTGGGGCGAGTTTTCACTTTTTGGTGGTGGTCTTTGAAACACAGCAGTTTCTGAGTTTGATGGGTGTTTCCTTGGTTGCTTTTGGCATCCTGGTTATGAGTCCTTTGTGAACCCCAAATCCGTGAAGATTTATGTGCATATTTTCTTTTAAGAGGCACAATGGTTTTAGCTGTTTCATTTAGGCTTACTTGGTGTTTGATTTATAAACCACAGAGGTTTTACAACAGTGAGATATTTGAAAGGAATGATCTTCGGTCGTTTGCTCAGTGACAAATTTATAATTTTTATAGCTGTATTGATTGCAAAATTTCATTTCTATGTGCTCATTTACTTACTTTTCCAAAGCAACAGTAATAACAGCAATAAACCCCTGTGAACCCTTGAGACAGTCTGTTAAGTGATGTGTGGCGTCCCGTGAGCCTCACACTGTGTCCCACATTTTCTTGAGACCACAGTCCCATCCGAGGGTTTAGATCAAAGAGGCCTGCCAGAGTTTTGACCTACAGCATCAAAAAATATAATTGCAAAAATGCTAGGCAGGAGACATGTTTTCCTTATGACTCAGGGAAGCCCAGAGGCAAAGCAGTTCTCGGGCTGAGAACTGAGATACTTCTTATCTGAGGGGTTTAGAGTAGGGCAGGGTTCTAGAAGGATCTGATGCTGCTGAATTAGGGAAGGGGCCAGACGCTGGCACCCAGGAAGGGTTGGACAAGTCCCCTCTCCAGATTCCCCGTGCATCTGAGAGAAGTGAAAGGGGTCACAGGTGTGTCACCTGCATTATTTGGGAGACTCAGGAAAAACTGAAAACTCTGGTTTAGAAAACAGAAAAAGGGCCTCTACGGGACCAGAAATGGAAACATCATTCCATTCTCCTGTGCTTTCTCCTCCTACTTCTAGTGTTTTTCACTTGATCTTTAATGTCGTGCTTCTCAGGGTACAGAGATAGGTGGGGTGACCCCAGAGCCTCCCAGGTTGGGGTCTCTCCTCAGTCACTGGACCAGCACACTGTACGCTGGACTGCCACACAGCCCACCATAATGAAAAGCCTAGGATACCCTAGGGAAGGAGAGGAGGGATGGGGCAGGATGTCTGTGAGATAAGGCACTGAGCCTCACGCGTGCTGCGGGGTCTCTGACTTCACTTTCAGAATACAGGCTGAAAGGCTTTGCAGCTGGCGGTCTGCAGTCGTAGAGCGTGACCCTGAGTATGGACCCCTCTGCCCTGGCTTCCCCTGTGAGGCCAGTTCTGGTGGTTTGTGGAGCTTGCTGGGAGACAGGGATTGTCTTATTTGTTTTTACGGTGCTTGGAAGAAATCCTAGATACCCATAATTTTGAAGAGTAGAGGTTTAGTTTGGCTCACGGTTGCAGGAGAGGCAGTCCAGGTCTGCTGGCTCCGAGGCAGGGACCTCGTGGTGCAAGGGTGTGGAAGCTACTTAGCTCATGGCAGATGGACAGCAGAGCGGGGGAACAGAGCCAAGAGGAGAAAGTGAGGAACAATACAGACCCCAAGGTCACATGCCTGTGACCTGCCCAGACATGCCCAGGAGCCTGCCTTACTAATCTCCTGAGCCTTTCTAAAGTGCCAAAGAAGTTGAGAGTCCAAGATGAACAGCCACAGGGGTAGAGGGATGGCCACTTGTGGAGAGAAGTGACCCCACCCACGGTCCTGTCCCCACATCTCAGGCCCCATGCACCCCCTTGTCATCCAAGGCACAGGAAGGAGGTGAGTTGCTCCACTGGGTGGGATGTGACCCCCACACCCTGCTCTCCCGTGGGAGTCTGGGAGGAGGGAGAAGGAGAAAGAGACAAAAGTCTCTGCATTTCTGAAAAAGCAGTGTTAAAGTACAAGAGGCTTGTGGCTGTGACTTAGCCCTGTGACGTTCACAGATCTGGGCTCTAACTGCAGGGCGCTGCCCTAAGTCACGGTCAGTGCTGCAGGGCCCTTGGCTCTGTGGGAATCGCTGTGCTCCTTCCCATTTAACAGGTCAGCATTCCAGGGGACAGATTCCCAGGGACCCAGCACAGCACCTGCCTGTCACTCCTGTCCTCCTGTCTCTTGGCTTTTTTTCCTGATCTATTCTCTTATCAATAAAGCTGCTTCTGAGTGTGTATTCCCAGGCCCAAGTGCCACAGCCAGCGTGGTCGTGGAAAGAGAAACCACCGCAAAGGACTGTGGGCAAATGCTAGCGACTGTCTCACAGCAGTTATGGGGGACACGAGAGAAGCTCATGAGCTGCCCTGGGTCAGACCTACAGGAATAGAGCTCCGTGGGCACGGCCATCAGGCTGGGCAGCGACACAGTGACATGCGATCCATCGCTGTGAGTCCTTTCTGTGTCTCTTGCTATGCATGAGGAACACTGCCCAGACGCAAGGGCTGTGTGCGTTTGCCTGCAGAACACTCCCCTGCGCGTCTCACCCGCAATCTGTTTATTGTTTTTGCTGAACTGTGTGAAAGCTGTGCACAAACACCTCAGCTTGCATTTTCTAAAAATGTTTTCCCAATATAACTGTCACAACACGCGCAGGCCTAAACAGTAGCCTCCCGGTGTTGTTCAGATCCAGCTCGGGTGACTGTCCCAGGGTGCTCTGCAGGGGCCCAGGGTGGTCTTCACACTGCCATTGCGCTGGTCTTAGGCCTCCTCGGTCTTAGTCGGTGGCTCTCTCGCTTCTGCTTGCCACTGGTTTCCTTCTCTGTGTCGCTGCTATTTTTTAAAGCATCCAAACCAGTTACTTGTGCTATATGATGGTCGCGGGATGTGTGTGTGTAGGGGGAGCAGGGGGCCCTTGCTCTCTGGCCAAGGCTCCCACGTTCTTATTCAATAGCTCCCAGATCCTCTGGGACTGGGAAATCCTTGGAGAAGAAATATTTGGATGTGGCAGTGAGAGGCCACCACGGCCGGTCTGTATCCGGCCACCCTGTTACCCCAGAGCATCTTCTGTCCACCTCTTCCCCCTTCACCAGTGAGACTGGGCCTCTGGCTGCTTCCTGTTTCCGTCCTCCGGTGAGCAGATGGCTCAACTGTTCTAGAACTTTCTAGAATGGCTGCTGTGATCTCACTTGTTTCCCGACAGCAATAAGGGTCGTGCCAGGCAGGGAAATCTCTGTCTGGATGCTTGTAGAGATAAAGGCCCCCTTGCTGGTCTGTCGTGGCCGCCTGGAGTCAGGCAGAGCAAGCTGAAGCAGGCTGGGTTCCCTTTGGGTCGGTGATCACCAGACACACCAGGAGAAGGCTACCAGGAGGACCAGCTGAGGCCCTGCCGGACCAGAGTCCTGTGGCAGCCCTGTAGGGCCAGAAACGGGGTGTTTCAGCTTAGCTGGAGTGTCCCAAGCACAAAGAATTTGCTCAGACTGAAGGGAGCTCTTAAACCACTGTTACTAACACTCCTGCTAACCCTAAAGACACTGGTGATTAATATGGTGATGCTGATGCTAATGACAGAGCCCTCAGTTTGGAGCCCCCTGCCAGGATCAGGCCGAGCACTTCCTGTGGGTTAACCCCTCTGTTCTCCTGACAGCCCACCACGCGAGGCAGTTGGCAGGTCGCACAGAGCGTACAGAGGCACTGTCCCTGAGACCTGTGGGGTCTCGTCTGGCCCTGAGCTCCTTATCAGGCCTCCTGCTTCATTGTCACCATCGCCACCCAGCTGCTCAGGCCATGCTCACTGGGGGTCACATCTGCTATTTAATTCTCGGATACCTTGCGTCCGATTCATCTGCAAATCCTGAAGCTCTGCCCGAGAATGGGCCCTCAGGATGCCACTTGCTGTCCCCTCCAACTGCCCTTCACCAGTCACAGTAAGCTAGGCTGGTCCTGTCACACATGGCGCCCCGATTTTCGGGATGTAAGATGACAAGGTCACCCTTGCTTGTGTTTCGTGAGCACTGCAGCTCACAGGACTCTCTCCGAGCTTCCCTCACTGGAGGGCCATGCTGGTGACATCCTGAGTGTGTGCTGGCACCGCACCAGGAGAACGAGCACTCCCCGAGGTATCCATGTCTCCATGCTCTTGGCCGGTGCTGGTCACAAGGTCACGCCTGACTGGAACAGCAGGGGATAGTGCAGTCGTCCTGAATGCAGGTGGCCTTCCTGGGGATGCCAGGAGCCAGCACGAGCCACTGCCACAGTTGCTACAGACCCAGTCTCCGTTCTCCCTCTCACAGCACTTTGGCAGCCTGGCCAGTGTCCCTGTGTCCTCTCTAGCCCTGTAATCCCTTCTCCAGTGACCAGCAGAATGGTGGGGAGCAGCTGAAGCTGGAGATCGATCACAGGTGCGGGGCTGCAGCTGGGCCAGCCCCGAGAACATGTTGCTAGGCAGAGGGGTTTCTGCTGACAGCGACCTTCCGAGTGTATAAGTAAACGCAGTCTGGGTGTCTCTTCTGTCCCAGGTGTCCAGGCCCGTCTTGGGGATGGGTTGGGCTAGGCCCAGGGACAGGCAGGAGTGAATGTCCACACCCTGCGCTTGCCCCTGGAAGCTCCCCGAGCCAGGGCTCGATGGCAGGCAGGTGCCGGTAGGTTGCCAGGCTCTGCTCCCCACACAGCAGACGATGCTGCCAAGCACTGTGTCCCCTGGCACTGGCTCAGAAGAAAGGCCCAGCAGGCCCCGGATGCCCTCAAAGGCTGCCGCTGCTGCCCGGCGGCTGCGCCGAACACATCAATCCTTGAAGTTCATTAAACTTTGGAGCTGGCTGTACAGAGGGGAGAAAAGACCCATCAAGGATGTCTCAGAGGGGTAGAAGGACACGGAGGGCAGGGAGATGGGTGGGAGGGGCTGTGGTGTCCAGGTGAGGGCAGGGTAGACTGGGCAGGGGCAGGGGCCAGCAGCCAGCACTGCCCCTGCTCTGCCACCGTGCTGGTGAAGGGAGGCCAGGAGCAGGGGAGCCCCAGAGCCAGGGCAGAGGAGGGGACAGAAGCATCACAGCCCAGAGGGTTGGCTTCCGCTTCCCTGTGGACTGTCCCATGTTCCTGCGCATGTGGGCAGGCTCTGGTGGGCCGTCACGACAGGCTCCTGGCTACCCTGGGGGCAGGGCTGTCCTCCTGCCTCTCTGTCCTTCCTCTCCACAGTGGCACCCCGTCACCCCACCCTGGGGTCTTCCTAGGCCCGCCTGCCCACCCAGGTGCCAACTGGCATCAGGTGAGTGACCCCCACGTCATTCTTGGTGGCCTTCTTCCCAGCCTCTCCCTGACTGTCTTACTTCCCACCGTCCCTCTCAAGGGCCCCCCCTGCTGTCCCTGTCTCTGCCCGCCAGGTCTCCCCGTGGCTGTACAATGCTGACCCCCGGCACCTCCCCCTGCTCCACTCTGGGAACACATCGTGCGTGTTCAACACTTTTGTTGGTACCTTGTACAAGCAGCTCCATCTGTTTTTCTGGAATTTTCTTGTGCTCTCTTGCCTTGGGCAAGGGGCAGGTGTGGGGGCGGAAACTGGCTCTCCAGTGAAGGAGGTGGGCTGGGTCCTGCTGGCCAGTGACCCTCAAACGAGCTTGTACAGCACAGAGTCATAAGCTCTGTGTAGAATTCCATGGCCTGCTGGTCAATTCATTCCCTTGTGACAACTGGGCATACTAACTAGATCAAAAGACTGTCTCCAACTATCCTGAGCAGTTACATCATGTGCATGCGGTGTTGGCACATGTATAATGTCTTCCAAGGGTAAGTGTCCAAGTATGTCACATAATAAGCATTATCTATGTGCTCACTACCTTTCTGATCTGTTTGGGTTCGTAAACAGAGCATGTATCTGTGTATGCATCTCTACTTTGGTGAGCCTTGGCTCTCTTTTCTTGTAAGACAGGAATGAGACAACATCATAGAGAATCTGGGGAGACTGAAGACCCTGGAACACAAGGAAGGTATTCGGGATGCGCTGGAGGCCTTGGTGCCCACCTCGTGTCCCATATGCTGTGTAGCTGTGACCCGTGCGCTTAGTGAGGACCTTAGTATCTTTCCATGACACACACTGTGTTTGTCATTTTTCCCTACATGGCATCCCCCTCCCTTCCCAGTGCCACCTCAGCATGCTCATAGGCCTTGCCCATAGGCGAGGGTACAGCCACTTGCTTCCCACTGAGGGCACGGGATGCTTCTGAGTAGGGTTGGTGAAGGAGTCACAGCTACTTCCCCATGAGTTGTCCCCATAAAAGGTTCTCAGATGGACCTTTTCCCGGTATGATAGATGCTTGAGGCTTTGTCATTAGCCCTGTGGAGGAGGCTGAGACCAAGGAACTCCCATGGCTGTCTGTTACTGTATCTGTCATCTTGATCTTTCCAGGGAGGTCATGGAAGAAATTGCTAGAAGACCTTGGGTTCCCTGGGCTGGGTAAAAGGCTGAAGGTGTGGCAAGAGAGGACTGGTGTGTCCTGGGCTTTGCAGCTGCTCAGGGAGGAGGCCCACTCCTGGGGCCTACGGATAGTGCGTCCCTAAGGGCAGGAATGACTGCTCCCACAGAATAGCCCCATAAACAAGTCCACAGCTGTGGTGGGTGCCGGCCTAGCGAAGGAGGAGCTGCAGTCACGGGAGGCGAAGAGAGACAGCAGCCTCGGTGTCCCCCACCTTGATTGGTGAACCATCAGTTCCGGCATCGGGTTCTAGTTTGGATCTTCGAAGCCCACCAACTTCCCATGTGACGAAGGCTTGGTCTCCAGGCTGTGACTCCAAAGCCCCTGGGCCAACTGGTCCTGGACGGTCCCTCTGAAACTGAGAGCCAAAAGAGACCTTTCCTT